ATTAACCTGACAGTCGGGAACCCTTGGGCCCCCCCCCCCCCCCCCCCCCCCGCCTGCTCTACCGCCCTGCCGGGTCGATCTCTACCAAACGTGATTATCCCTTCCGGGCTTTGTTTCTACATTTTGGCGCCTCGTCCGAATTCTTGGGCACAACCCACCCATATAAATCTATTACTTGGTACAATACAATAACTACATGTATTGTACATACCTAACTTACAGTACATACAGACTTTTAGTATGTAGATTTTGCAAGGCAGATAGATAGGTACATACATACTACTTCTCGTATTCTGCTACTATGTACGTAGCATAAAGAAGGGTTCGAAAAGAAAGAAGAAAAGAAAGAAAAAGATCAACATGAAACCTTTTCCAGAATTGCAAAAGTCTCGGAACCTAGAAAGCCTTTCTCGCGAGATTAAGATGATGTTCCTGCCGTATCAGATGCGGCAAGCGTTGCGTGCGCCAGGACCATGCTCGGTAAAGTGATCCATTGACCCCTCCGCTGCTCACCTTGAATTCCTTTAATTACCTACCTAGCATTGGCTCGAACCAGTTACCCAGGAAGGTATTGTATTGTATTGTACATTTAATAGGTACGTACAGTAGGTACTTACCAGAGACCACGATGCCAGCCGGCAGCATCATTGGATACCCAGATAGGGCAGGGGAAGAATACCATGAACTAATCAAGTCTCGCTAACAGAAGAGCAACCTTGAGCACGCGTCAGCAGCCGCGGCGTTCATCCATCCCATTGGGTTAATATGATAATGTGGTGCTGGCTCAATGGCCGCCACATGCGGGAAAGTCGTCCCAACGGTTGTTGCAATAAGGAATTGGCTAGTCTAGATCCTGCAGGGGTTCCTCACAAATCGATCGGTAATAATTGTAATATGTATGTGAGGAGAGATCAAAGGGCCTCTGGATCTTGAGATGAGACTTTTTTTTTTTTTTTTTTTTTTTTTTTGGTGATTTTTGAAAGGATCACTTAAATCAACCATGCAAAAATATGACGATACAACAAGACAAAAAATAGATCTTCATAATTACATAGTAAGGCACATATGTAATGCAGCCAACCTTATCAAAACAAAGGAATGACAATAATAAGATTAATGATGAGGTTGACAATATAACTACTAGCTTTATCCTTTATCCTTATGGATAATAGATATAATAGATATAACTACACAACATAAGTAAATGTAAGTACAACCTATTTAAAGATTTGTACGACCCTTTGTGCTTTGTGAAATTATCGTTGACTGTCAACAACGCCTCTCCCTACATTCGTTAGTTGCGCCTTGCAATATTATATTGACATCGCCCGTTTTAATCAGCCTAGAAGGCTGGCTAGATCAAGGCGATGATGATCAGCAGCAACCTTTTCTTCCAACCTTTGATTTTGTAACACCTCAAGTCGTTTCTGAGTATACATAACTACATGTACGTATACAGCTTGTACTCATAACAGCATCGAACTAAGGTAGCCCTGTGGCACACATAGCCATCTGTGTGTGTATCATCACTTAAAGGCATCATCAGCATTGGACGGGTGAAGATTTTCTCACAGCATAAAATACTACGCCATATTGGTATATCTTTTCGTACTTCGTCTCTTGGTGCTACCAATATCGAAATATATAACACCGCTAGCAGCGCCTACACGGTAAATACTAAAATACCTACCTTTTACCAACCTGGAAGTGAATAGCTGATGAACAAGCCTAACCTGATACCTACCTAACCTACAATATCCATCTTTGATACCTACCTAATCTATCTTTTCGCTCCACCATCTAGTTGACAGTAGACATGGATTCCCGTCTCTCTTTTTCCTATTTCTCTCTAGACCATTGCCTCATTTTTTCTCTTTCTCTTCCATATACCTTGTTCATTGCCCGTAGTATCCACCCCAGCTGTCTTTCTTTGACGAATAGCCCAAGCTATCTATCTACCTAGGTTAGGTATGTATACAGGTTCAAGCCTTTCTTCTTCGTTAACCTTACCTAACCCCAGGCATTTACCCATGTTGTTATTTTCCCCTCGTTTATCTTTCTTCTCTTCCTTTTTTTTCCCTTTTTTCTCGTGATTTATTTACTTTCCCTCCTTTGCGACCCTTGACGTTACACGGCATGCCGGCCGCATGGTGCTGCTGCATGTCTGCCGTTTAATAACGTCTGGTACGCCCTCTCGACGTAACCTGCCAAGCTCCGCTTAACCCACGTAACCTAACCCTAGATTGGGTTTATATCATATGTATGTAGCTGTGTTTGTAAAGTGCAATATCCATACACAGGTATGCAATTCCCAAAGATGGGTTGCGTCGCATAAAAATTATGCATGCCTTGCCTCAAATAGGCCTCTCCGTTCATAACGGAATACCTTTGTTGGCGCCAGAGAGTCGAATCCAGAACAGCTCTTCGCCCATTTGGAGCTCTTGGAGCCTCGTGTTGCCTGCAAGTAGGTAGATTAGGATATATTAGAAACATGCAACATACTATATGTATCATCAACGATCGCTGACCAAGTTTGCACGTGACAACGAGATGTTGAGAGCTCTAAATGGATGAATCGGCGATAAGAGCCGGTGACTTCAGGACTGCAGGATCCCTTTAATATACTTCTTTTTCAAGAAATGGACCAGCTCATACAGTTAGGTAAAAACGCCCGAGAAGAGAGGCTTGTGGGATTTTCAAGTAAATTGCCTGCCGCTGGAGAGTGCATACGGTAACAAGGAACTGTTACCTATGTACATTATAGCCATGCTCCAAGCCCGACGGCTACAGAAACTGAAATGATACAAGCAGCGAAGAGAAGCAGAAACACGGACTTATAAGATCGATAATAATGTCCAGTTCCAAGCCATCTAGACTATGCAGCCGCCTACCTACCTAGGTACCCAAGTCGCAACTAGTAGAGTCCAGACTTCCCCCTTCATCAAAAGCCTAGCTCGCCAAACACCTCTCGTTAACATTGGTTGTAACAACTTCCTGGAAAAAAAACCGGTGGTGGCTTGGATAGCTGCCGCCAAGAAATGAATGGGCGTTTGCTAGTTCATGCGTTGGTCTTCAGTGGGAAAAAAAAAGATGGCTTGCGGGCTTTGTGCGCATGGCGAGTGAGTGAGTGATCATGATCAAGTGATACGTATTGTACCTAGCATCTACACCTTACCTAGGTTAGCTATGTGCAAGTAATCGTGAGATCAAGAACCATAACAGCAGTATGTTAGATATGTTAGTGAGGACTTTTAAACTTCCCAGCCTAGGACGCTTCTCATACATACATACATACACTACTTCGCAACACGAACTACTACCACCCAGGTAAGCGACAATTGATAGGATGCGGTCGTTTTAAAGAGGATAACGCTGATGTTGTATCACCTCACTTACGTCAAAAGACAGGTTCGAGCAGGGGGGGTGGGCAGCCCTATGCTAGAACATGCATCTTTAGGGGGGGCAGCAGCACCTATGTACATACAGACCTACCTACGTAAGAACATGCCTACTTTGTTAGGTATGTAGGTAATAGGTAGGTAGGTAAGCTATACCCGCACATATAACATGACCGCAGTTCCACGTAAGACGTAAGCAAGCAAAGAACTATGTAAGAAAGCTCTAACCTAAAGTCTTTGTCCTGGGAACTTGACATGATGTCGTGAACATGCTTTTAGCGCAGTCTAGCAGCATATACATAGTCAGTTCGTGTTCACAAGTATCTATCCAGGTCTAGATGCAAGGAGGTAGGATTTAGAAGTTCGTCGTAAAAATAGCAATATCAGCAAGAAGACTTCTTCGCAGTAGTAGCCACACACGAGAGATACCCACCTAGTGACACCCTCAGCACCAAAGCTGAGAATGCATCCTCAACGATGTGTGTCCAACGTCCACCATACTCGAAGTAGGTATGTAGCATCAGCTGCACCGAAGAGAGACCGTTTCCCTCCTTCGGGCATTCCGTATTCTGTGTGCATAAATTGCCTAGGTAAATAAGAAAACCCTTCCTGCACAACTCCGGCTGGTAACATGATGAGTGGGATGGCCCGGGCCGAGCCAAGCCTGAGTAGTTAAGAGCGATGGGGGTGCCAACTCCGAAGTTGTAACGCGCCACAGAAAGAGGGCGAGAGAGGGAGAGAGAGAGAACTACCTGTGACCTTACAAGTATGTATAGAACCTCGCCTTGTCCGTTTTGGACCGCGGGTGTAATGACCCCGGGTCTGAGATGATGTTGGGAAGCGAGCGTATAGCAAGTAAGTAGGTACGGGCAACCACCAGAGAGCATCCATTGAGATAGGTATGTAGGTAGGTACAATACATATTAAGCTAACATCGTGTTCAACAATCAGCCATATCGACTCGGACCCTCCCACCTATGTAAATGGTAAGTGGGTGGGCTGTACAACGGGAATAGCAAAATGCAAGTCGATTCGAGCAAGAGGGGGGGGGGGGGGGGGGGGTCTTCGTGGAACAGGAAAGACTTCGAGAAGGCAAGAGAACAGAAGGCCAGGCAATTATAGCCGCCTACCACAGGAATCCTTACATAGCAATAGGACGTACCAGAATATATCATCCCCCCCCACCCTCCCCATTTCTTTCTCACCTCTTTCCAGATGTCTCTTCTTTTCTCTCACTACTACCCTACTTATACCGGGCGCGGGGTCGCGGATCTCGATTGGAGATATGGGTTTTGAGATGTGATGCCGAGAAAGCAAAGAAAAGGGACCTTGTCAAACTTACTCGTCATGTTTTGCACAGGACAAACATAGATTACCGTACATATCTGCCCACAGGAGGTGTATGTATGTATGTAGGTACTAGGCCTAGGTAGGTACCTACCTACATATATGTATAGGTGTGTGTGTGTGTGTGTGTGTGTGTGTGTGTGTGTGTGTGTGTGTGTGTATTGTACAATACAGAAAACAAATCACCACCATTACCAAGGTAAGGGGGGGTACTGTACATACATACCTACGTATAAAGTTTGGGGGTAGGGGAGGCACACACACACACACACACACACACACACTAAAAGCCCATCAACCCTCGTGGGAGGGAAGCAAGACGTTTCCCCATTGACCACCCCGCATTAGACAAAAAAGAATGCATGAGAACCTTGAACAACTGCACGCCCGTGGCGGCGGCGCCAGACGACCCGACGGGAAGATGGCAGCTCACCAGTTGCATACAAGGGTAGGTAGCGGTAGGTGCATTACATATTATTCCTAGTAGATACCTACCCAGCAACACGCTGCGGCGTACATACATGGAGAACCTTGAGGCTTACTCGGTTGTGAGTAGGTATAGAGGTATGTATATACAATATGTATAAGACGCTGAATGAAGTTACTCACAATGTATACATAGCCATGCCAGTACATACATACCTATATACCAGGTATGTACCTACCTACCTACACACACCCAGATGCCGCTGTGTAACATCGCTAAGACTAACTAACTAAACATACCATCACGAATACGCTGCCCGAATTGGAAACAACAACAAAAAGAAGCAAAAGGTGCAAAGTGCAAAGTGCAAAAAGAGAGAAAACCAACGAGCCAACCAAAAAAAAAAAATCCACAAACCCCCGCCAAGCTACCTTACGCACTGTACCTAGGTACAACCCCCCTAAAAAGCCACCAAAAAAGAAATAAACTTGGAGGGATGATGACGATGATGATGATGATGGTGTTTCAACGTGATACAAGGCGAACGGCTGACGAAGTACAAACAAACAAAGAAAAGACAACAAGGAAAAGAAATAGCAGGTACATAGTTACCTAGAGGCGAATTAAAGGAAAAAAAAAAAAAAAAAAAAGCGGAAAAAAGGGGGCGAACACCTAGGCCGTTAGCGACCGCCCTTTCCTCCCCCCTTTATTTTTTTTCACGACATCACAACATCACATCAAAACATACTCCCTTCTTTTGCGTAACAAGGACACAACGCCGACAAGCCAAGCCAGGCTAGGCCAGGTCAGTGCCAGTGTCAGGCCGTCTCTTAGAGCTCACCTGGTGATGCTTATCTTACCTACCTACCTACACTTACACTCTCCGCCGCTTCCCCTTCCCTTCCCTTCCCTTCCCTTCCCCCACCTCACCTCGCCTTACCAGGCAAAGCAACACATCTGTGCATACCTAGGCATCGCAGAGTCACGCGCAGCAAGCAAACCCCATCTTTCCCATCTCCTCCCCTTCCTCCCATATCCCATATCCCATATCCCATATCCCATCTCCCATCGCCCCCCTCCTTAACTCCGCCAATATGCGGCACCACAAACGAGTACAGCGTAGGTAACGCAAAACGCATAAGGCGGGCAGGGCCGGACGAGGGTCAAGCTGCGAGGCGACGTGGTACCTACTGTACCTACCTGTCCAACACCGAGCTCACACCTACCTACCTACCTACCCTGCTATGCTACCCTATCTAGGTAGTGCCCTACTGTACGATGGAAGGGGGACGTAGGTTACCTAGGCATTACGAGAAGGATGTATCCCAGAACAGAACAGAGCAGAGCAGAGCAGAGCAGGAAGCGCGTAATGTTGACCTACATAGTCTGGGTAGGTAGGTAGGTAGGTAGGTAGGTAGGTAATAGGTAAAGGATCAGTACGGCAAGTACGGGAAAGGCCAACAGCTCACATCACATCATCGAGAGAACCGGCGCTCCTCCTTCGGCTCACATCGATCGCCAAAGGCCACCTACCTACTTACCAATCTTAGCGTCGTCGGGCTGCTGGCTTCTGGCTTCTGGCTGCTTACGGCTTTTAACTAGACGCTATAAACGGGCTAAAGATCGTTGATGTCCAGAGTGTATGACTGTATATGCGAGAGGGGCCTCTAGACATATATGTATAGGGAGGGAGGGAGGGAGGGAGGGAGGGAGATCTATCAATCAATCATCATAGACTCGACGTTGAGGAATGGCGTCAACGGCTACTTTCAGTCTATGCCTAGGTAACGAAGACCCTTGAATTAGACTACCTAGGCTAGACAGTAGGAAGAACCAACATACGTAAAGATTGGTGATTGCTAAATGTAAAGTAGGTAAATACACATGAGGTGAAACAAATCAAGGTATCTACGTAGATATTTTCATATTCGCTTCTGCAAACGATGCGTAGAGGTTTCAATTTGTTATATGGCTAATAAGTACCTACTTCAATGACTTTTTTCTTTTTTTTTTTTCTCAAAACTCCATGCTCGCTCAGGACATGCGATAAACCGGAAAGACTGCAAACGGCTTCATTCCATCCCAGGACTAAAACAACTACTCTGTGTCTAAACCGGCTTGCTTAACTAAACCATAGAAAACCCCCTTCTTTTGGAGAAGCGCCTTGGGTGTATCAAACTCAACCACTTCACCCTTGTCGAGAACGACTATCCTGTCGCTGTCAAGGATGGTGTTAATACGGTGAGCAACTGTGATGATGGTGCGGTGAGCGAAGATTTCGGACCGCAGTGTACTCTGTAGCATTGCATCGGTTTCGACGTCAACGGCTGCTGTTGCCTCATCCAACACGAGGATGTTGGACGGTGTGAGCATTGCACGGGCTAGGGATATTAGTTGTCGTTGTCCAGCAGATAAATTGGATCCTATGTAGACGGAATCATTAGCTGGTGTGTCAATTCGTTTGCCTCAGTAACATCGTGTCCAAGTCACTAATTAGGTGGGCCGCTGCTGGCCTTCATGAGCGAAACATGACGACCATGCAGGGTCCTATCTAGAATTTCGTAAAAAGAAAAAGCCAAGCCGACGAATCAAGATCGACATGCCAAAGATGCCAGAATGAGTCTCGCTTGCTCCTGCACCCTCGCACATCATGCAAGTAGCCGGCGAGGAAGGAACAACAACCATAACGACGACGACATAAGCCGAAAGAAAGCGTGAATTTTGAACTTACCTCCTTCGTTGATCTTAGCCTCTAGTCCGCCCTCCATACCTGCCACATGTTCTTTCAAACGTGCATGATCTGTGAGTGACGATGTGTCAGTTTAATAGAGATGGTGGGAAGGGACCGACCTGGGCGGAGTTACGCGAGAGCATGTGGTCTCTCCGCCCTGCGGCACGAATAAGGATGAGTGAGATCCGTGTAACACTTACCTAGTACGCTCCAAAGCTCTGTATCATCATGAACATGGCCTGGGTCCAAATTATCACGAACTGTACCCTCGAAGAGCGCGGCATCTTGAGGGATGATCGCAAGGCGTCGCCGCAAATCCAACAAACCAATCGTCGATGTGTTCAGGTTATCTATACTTATGTTTCCGGTATCTGGCTCGATTAGGCGGAAGAGGGACAACGTCAACGAGGACTTGCCCGCTCCAGTCCGTCCCACCACACCGATTTTCTCATGAGACTTGATATCCAAGTTGATATTCTTGAGCACCAAATCCAAGCCTTGGCGATAGCGGGTGCTGAAGTTGTGGAACTGAACCGCTCCATTTGCGGGCCAGGCAACTGGAGGCCTGTGTCCGGGTATAATCTCAGGAGCTTCACTCGGTAAGCGTGCATATTCGAGGACTCGTTCCACAGACACGATGTTTGTTTCCACTTCTACTGTCTGGCGAACGATCCAGTTGAGCGAAGTCGTGATCTGCAAAGCGTACGACATGGCCAAGCCTACCATTCCAGCACTCAGCCCACTGTGGTTCGTGACGGAAATGATAGCGAATCCAGCAGCCGCAAGGATAATGACGGCACCGAGGAACTCTAGACGAACGGCCAACCATCTGTTTGAGCTGATGGATGGGAAGTAAGCCCGTAGGTTTGAATCCACCCGCCATTCGTTCTCTAGTTCAAATCTGTCTTGCTGTCGGTATGCTCGGATGGTGCTGATACCGCCTAGAGATTCTTGGAAGTGTGCATATATGGGACTTCGGCTGACACTGTCCAATCGTTTCAGTTCTCGTGATGTCCTGAGGTAGTATCGCTGCACCCAGTAGTACACTGCACTCAGCGGTAGAATCAATGCGACGAAAATAGGAGTGCTGACAGAGATGACGATTAGCGTAAACCCGGAGCGGGCCAGATTTACGAAAAGCATGTTGAAAGTCCGGGCTAGAACCTCATCTAGTCGATATATGTCACTTGAGAAACGATTCAGGATTCTTCCAGCTGGAGTAGTGTCAAAAAACGACATTGGCGACCTAAAGATTGCCGTCGCCATTCTCTCATGCAGCTTTCGCGAGGCCTCGATGGAGCAAAATATCCATAGAATGAGTGTTTGAACAACAGTCAAGGCAGATGAGCCGACACCGAAAGCAAAGTAGATACCAAGGTATTTCGCAACTTGAGGATTAGCTCCAGCATTTCCGTTCGCCTCTGCCCAATTCTTCAACCAAACGCTACCGGCTAAAGAAGCGTTAGCATAATAATGACCTTATTGCGGGGCCTGGAAGGGGATATAAAGGATATAAACCAACCAATCTGTGCCGTTTGCGCGGCGAGTAAAGCGACGAGGTATATGGAGACAGCTACTAAGTTACTAGTTTTGGCGTACTCGATGTAAACTTTTCAACGGTCAGCCTTATGATTATACGTTTTGCAAGAACTCCTAAAGAGAGACACGTACCATCCCACTTGACTTTTCCTTGCTCTGAGTGTTCCTTAGTCTGTTTAGTCTTAGAACTAGGCCCCTCCTCGTCTTGGAGTTTGCCTCTTGGACCTTTGAAACTGGCTGCACTTGCTCGTCTAAGAGTTGACATACTCCCTGCCCGTTTCTGTATAGCCGAACTTGAAGAAGGCCCAGTCTTAATGGGTGCTAATTCAGCAAGGCCTTCCTGAGCCTCTTCGATTTCTTCCTTGTCTTGATTATTATCCGGTTCGATATACGTAGACGTCTCACTTCCTGAACCCTCGGGGCTAGCCTCTGCGGATGCTGATGCAGAATCTTGGCCCAAGGACTTAACAAGATCTGCGATGCCTCCTTTCATGGCTATTAGCTGACGGAACGTCCCACTCTCCGCAAATTCGCCATCTTTGAGTTGATAGATATAGTCAGCTTCAGGGAGAACCGAGATGGCGTTAGTAGCCAAGATACGGCACTTAGAATTGAGGAGACCCTTCGGGCCCAATACATTCTCGATAATGTGTCTGCCGACGTGGGAATCTACTGCAGATAGACAGTCGTCAAGTAGGTAGATATCAGAGCGCGCATAAACTGCCCGCGCAAGAGCAACGCGAGCTTTCTGTCCGCCACTTAGGGATATTCCTCTCTCACCAACAACGGTTTCATCTCCATCGGGTAGCTGTGTGAAATCAGCAAGAAGTGCACATGCCCTGACCGTTTTATCGTAGAAATTTGAATCGTATCGGTGTCCAAAAATGATGTTTTCCTTAACTGTTGCATTCATAATCCATGCCTGTTGGGCGACATATGCCACTGTGCCTTGGACATATACATCACCATCTACCTTCCACAAGTCGCCGAGGATACACTGTAAGAGAGATGACTTTCCAGCCCCTACCCTACCAACTATACATGTAAGCTCTCCCTTTCGACTAGTGAGGTTGATGCCATTGAGGACAGTCTTGGGCTCGTGGCGATTCCAGGAGAAAGTCGCGTTACGAATAACGACAGCATCCTCGCCTCGTTCTTCTACGGCTGGGCCGATGTTGATTGCATCAGGTTGGACCTCTTCGGCTGTGAGATAGTCTGACAAACGACCAGCAGCAACAGAAGCTTCGATAATAGAGGTAATTACCATAGGCAACACAGCAAGCGGGAATGTGAGTAGATTGAACAAAGCAAGAGCAGGGAACACAATGTCAGTTGTCAACGGGATATCCTTGGTCCAGACGAAGATGGCGAAAGTTGAGCATGATACTAAAAATGGAGTAGTACTCCAGGTGAAATTAGCGAACGCTTGGCCAGCACCAATCTTGCGAAGATTCTTGAGCTCGAGATCATTCCTGACATAGTTTAGCTTATTCATAAACGCTGTGCTCCAAGCGTAGAGTTTGATGCTCTTCATGTTGTTTATAATCTCAGCAATCAGACGACTCCTTGCGTCTTTATTTTTCATCTGATCCTTTTGTAGACGCTTCATGAACCTAGCAATGAAGCCGTTAATAGGAATCATGACAATCATTACAGCGATTCCGGAGAGCATAGACCATCCGACAAGCTGGTATAGTGAGATCATGCAGATAGTAATCTGGAACGGGGCGGACCAAAGTTGTTGCGCAAACTGGGTGAGATCTTGAAGGCGTTGCGCATCGACGGCCATGTAGTTGACGATATCACCAGTGGTCTTTGTAGCTCTCCCTTCGTTCGAAAGCTTTAGTGATTTCTTATAGATAGCAGACGCTAGACCCGACTTGATGCGCATGCCAGTGACGAAGGCAAGCTGGAAATATTGGTGCTGGAGTGTGTTAGTTCAAGTGCCTAGGTACGTATAATGACAAGGCCTTATGCTATTGAAGAACTCACAATCATGGTAGTTTGCAGACCTGCGACGAAAAACATGGCAATTGCAATGGCAGCACCCTTAACAGGTGGCTGAGGCACCTTTCCTTCACTATAGGAATCCACAAAGCTAATCAGGTAACGTAGAAGCTGAGGCTGTGAGAATGCGGCAAGGTCATTAATGACCTTGAAAAACGTAGCACCCATATAAGGCCCGCCATAAGCGTGGAACAAGGCTAGCCATATAGAAGGACGCTTTCCTCGGTTCAGTTGATGTTTCCATGCCTTTTCAAACCTATCACCGGTTGCAGAGGTCTTGTCACTAGGAGTCAGGCCCCAGAGGTCGTCCTCGGTGAGATATTGCTTGTAACCCTGTTTCATGAGAGGGGTCATCCAGGAAAAGGCAAGCCGAGAGAAAATGGTCGCGTATTCTACCGGACATTCCTCCCCTTCCTCGTCCACCAATGCTTCATAACTGCTTGTTTTCTTGGGCAAAAGCCATTCAATGCCGAACTCGATTGCGGAAAGACCAAACCCAACAGTATAAGCAATGAAGTATGGAAGGTTGCTATGGTAAATCTGCTGGGACACCAAGGACCTCAGCTTCACAGCATACGCGAGCAAGAGAAGCAGCCAATAGAATAGCACGACACCATTGGCATTTCTCATGCGGTCATATTCTAGCCATTGAACCGTAAAGATAACACCAAGGGATATGAGAGTAAAGAAGGTCGTGATGACTCGGAAATCGCCGTGCCATATTCCTGGGAAGTTGATGATCTGGATAGCGAGTTGCGCGGCTACATCGGCAAAGACGAGAACAAGCAAGGACTAACGTGATGATCCTTTGTCAGTACAAACAAGAAGCTCAATATGCGACATAAGATATTATGATGGATCCCTTCTGTGTTTTTCAGTTTCAGAAGCATTCAAACGCACCTGTTTTATCCAGAAATGCCAATCCTTGGAAAGCTCAGTAGGTTTACGTTTTCGTAGAACGTACCATACCGCCAGAGCTCCGCCAAGGATACCAAATACAGCCACAACAAATACCCATACATCGATGAAGCACGGGGTGAAGTCGTAACGAAAGGGACTCAAAGGCCCCCAACCTTCTTCGTTACCACATAGGGGCTGTTTGAAATCTTTAGTAGCACTAAGATAATTCTTTCCAAGCTCTTGAAGCGGCCTATAGCCCGTGAAGGACCCGGTCGATTGGAGGACCTGTTGGGAGGTATGGTCGTCGAATCGCATGACCGCCTTGAGTAGGTACCTTTTAAGTTGAAGATTGGACGATAAAGATCATAGTATAGGTAGGGGGAACTCCAATTGCGCAATAAGGTGTAGTGTTGACGGAAGTTTACCTATGTATAGCTCTGGAGGTAATGCTGCCAAAAATCTAGGTAGCAGTGTAATCCAAAAGATGCATGGAATGCTGGAATGAGAAAGGTAAAAAAAAATGAACACGGGACGATTAGTAAGAGCTGGTGATGTTCGTTTAATAATTTTAAGTGGAGGGAACGGTGAACTTCAGTTCAATTCCATCTTAAATTCCATTTCAATCGGCGTTTACTGTTAGTAGAAGCTTAAAGCTGGGTACTATGCTGGGTACTAAGCTGGGGGTGAAGCATTAGACTAAGGCATATGTGGGTCATGAGCTTATCTGCATATGGTTTAGGCAGCCAAGTTATCACTAGTAATGTACTTTGTAATGTTCCATCAATGATTCAATTGGCCCCGGTTCTCGGGCCATATGTGCTGCACTCTACAGTCTCTAGACTCTCTACTCATATGTAAGCTACAGTAGTACTTGTCCGATTCCCGAGCTGCTGCGCATCCGAAGTCGGGTTCTAGACTATCTAATCATGCACACTGCATACATGTAGTCAGTCGCAGATTACACATCACTTGTGTATCCCTTTTTCAAATCATTGATGCCATGTCCAAGCCTGGATAATGTCTATTGATCAGTGACTGTAGCAAAATCATATTGACTGTATCAATCATTGATATGCATATACTGATACACATTTTATATATGTATGTAATACAGGGTAGATAGTGCACACGTTGGAAAAGTTTGTAGTTAATTATTAACAATGTTGAACTTTGAAAGTGCTTTATCAATCAATCATATGTTACACTCATTTTGGTAGTTATCGATAAGAAAAATTAAAGTTGTGCTGATAGCAAGTAACTACCAAGTAGTTAGTTACCTATGCACCTGGCACGGCAACACGGGTAGAGCACAGGCCAAGACGGAGTTAAGCCCCGCAGCTTGAACCCCGACGCGTCTAAGGTTAGTTAGTTGCATCACCATTCACCCACATTGATATGCCACTCTTCACCTTTAACTAAACTTATCCACATTCAACATTCGCATTCACATCCACATCCACATCTACATCCATACCATTAAAGAGCAAAGGTAGGTACCTACCTACCTATCTTACGTACATAGGTATGTTTATGCGTCTGTCCATCATTGATGCCATCCAGTTTCCATACATGATGTAATTGGTGTATGCAGGTATGGGTGTCTAGATGCAAATGCATGTACAGTTACTACATGTGTATCCTCTGATGCAAGCTGCTGCTGCCCACAAAAGTGGTAGATACTAACTACACATATTGTACATATTATACATATTACATCTATTACATCCACTACCATCTACTACGCCAACTACACAGCTCTATCCATCTGCACCTTGTTTCAACGTCCCACTCCATCCACCACCATATATCCCCAACACCTCCATTATAGCACACCCATCCATCACTTCTTTCAATGCTTGTGATCGCAAGGTGCTACCTATTAACTTTCTGCCAGCCTTGAAAGATCCATAACCCACACCCCGTTAGCCCCAATTTCAGGCCCGAGTGACTATTCTGGTAGTTGCAGGGCCTCCCCAGGTCCATGCATTCACCGGGACAGTCGCCTCGCGACGGATTGTCCTCATTTGTGACCCCGTCCAAACGAAAGCCGACTGGTTCCAGTAACATCAAGCAACTAGCATTCGACGGCCAGTCCTCCACTTCTGACCACAAGCGTCCTAAACTCAACACCTCGACCGACCCAGACATTCCGACAATGAGCAAGGTGCTGGGCAAGCAGCCAGAGATCGTCGACTTGACGAGACCTCACACTGCCTTCCAACCTCATAAGGGCGCTAAGAAGATTATCATCAAGAATTTACGAACTACCTCACGAACTGACGATCTCGAGAAGTATTATGCTACCATCAGACAAGAGTTGCTTGACGCTCTTCAGGATATATTCGATCAGAAGCAACCCCGCCAACCACTCGAGAAGCTATACCGCGCAGTGGAAGATCTCTGTAGACATGGCGAATCTAAATTTCTATATGACATGCTGCTAGTGCACTGCGAAAAATACCTACAAAACAACCTTCTCGAAGCTGTGGCGGCAGAATCTGGCTTATCGAATGTCGACATATTGAGGAGCACCTACAAATATTGGGTGATATGGAATGCTCAATCAGTAAATATTCTTAAATCATTATAATCATCGTGGCTTCTACTGACAAGCTGTCTCAGACCACAATCCGTTCGATCTTCAGCTACCTCGACCGATCATTTCTGCTGAGCACCAAGGAGTTCCCACAGATCAACGACATGGCCATAATGCTATTCAGAAAGATCGTATTCATCACATTTCCATCAGGCCCCAAGAGCGTTGCTGGTGCATGTGAGCTAGTGGAATATGACCGAAAAGGAGATCCACGGTTTGACCCAGCTCTACTGCGTGACTCGATCTCCATGTTTCATGTCCTAAACATCTATGGCAAATTCTTCGAGCCATGTATCTGGAAAGCATCCAAGGCGTATTACGCCGAATTTGCTGATGAGCAAGGCACAGCGTCCCTAAAGAGTTACATTGCCAGTTGCGAGAAACTACTGGCACGCGAAGAATACCGTTGCAACGCATACAATTTTGATAGTACGACGAAGAGAAAGTTGATGGACTATGCGAATGCAGCCCTAATATCCAATTTCTCTGAAAAACTTCTCGATGGCGGCAGCATTAGGAAGCTCTTGGATGAGAAAGCTATTGAATCCATGAGAGCCCTATATGACCTTCTACGTTTATCAGGCATGCACAAAAAACTGGAGCAGCCCTGGTCAACGTATATCAGAGAAGCGGGCTCGGAAATTGTGAATGATACCTCTCGCGGAGACGAAATGGTTGTCCGCTTGCTCGAATTTCGAAGATCTCTAGACCTAATGATCCGAGATGCGTTCAACAAAGATGATGGATTCACCTACAGCATGCGACAATCGTTTAGTAGCTTTATCAATGATCGAAAGATTCTATCTTCATGGAAGACGGGTACCTCCAAGGTTGGCGAAATGATTGCTAAGTATATCGATGCGCTGTTGAGGGGTGGGCTTAAGAACCTACCCAAATCACTGCTTTCGGACGTAAAAGATCGAATGGATGCTGAACAGAGTGGACAAGCCAGCACTGGCGATGAAGATGCCGAATTGGACCGGCAGCTAGATCAGGCTCTCGAACTGTTCCGTTTCATTGAAGGAAAGGACGTCTTCGAGGCCTTTTACAAACAAGACTTGGCCCGGCGGATCTTGATGAGTCGTAGTGCCAGTGCAGATGCAGAAAGAAGCATGCTCACAAAGCTCAAGAATGAATGCGGTTCTAACTTCACCCATAATCTTGAGCAAATGTTCAAAGATCAGCAAATTGCCCGCGAGGAGATGTCTTCTTTCAAGTCTTTGTTAGAGGGCATTGGACTTGGTAAGAGCAGCTTAGACCTTCAAGTTAATATCTTGTCTGCTGCGGCTTGGCCAACATATCCAGATACCCAGCTCGTGGTACCTCGCAATGTCGCCAAGCAAATCGGACTATTTGAAGACTTTTATGTCCACAAACACACCGGAAGACGGCTTACTTGGAAGCATTCACTCGCTCATTGCATTGTTAAGGCTCAATTCAATAAGGGACCAAAAGAGCTTCTTGTCAGCGCATTCCAAGCCGTGGTATTGACGTTGTTCAATCAACTTGACGCTGTGCCAGATGGATTCCTCACTTATAAGCAAATCGCAGATGGCAGTGGCCTTAATGGGCCAGATCTCGATCGAACCTTGCAGTCTTTGGCATGTGGTAAAGTCCGCGTCATTACAAAACATCCCAAGGGGAAGGAAGTTCTACCAACAGATACCTTCACGGTGAACAAGACATTCACCGACCCCAAATTCCGCATAAAGATCAACCAAGTCCAACTCAAAGAGACCAAACAGGATAACCAAGACACTCACGAGCGTGTCGCACAAGACAGACAGTTTGAGTGCCAGGCCGCGATTGTGAGAATCATGAAGAGCAGGAAGACCATGACACACGTCAACCTGGTTGCCGAAGTCATCAACCAGACAAAGAGCCGGGGCGCTATTGAGCCATCTGAGATCAAGAAGAACATAGAGAAGTAAGCTTAGCCCAGTAACCCAGTAATAACCCCATGTGCCAGCTATCAAAGCTAATCCATTCTCAGGCTTATCGAGAAAGACTACCTCGAACGAGAGGGTAACGCCTATTCATACCTAGCATAGACGCTGGCTTGCAGGTAGCTGAAACTGGTTTCAATGGAATGGAAGGCCTAGATTTGCATAGAAGCATGTACGTAGCCCACTGTGGTGGTTGTGGATTCAACTCTATACGCAACTCGAAGCAGTTGAAGTTGGGAATAGCCTAATCTTGAATGATCAGTAGCAGTGACTATTACAGTGACAGTGAGGCGTGATCTGACCTGATATGATCTGGTTGTGTAGGTAGTAATACTATTGCGCGACTAATACCGACTAATACTCCCCCCCTCTTTTTTTGGTACTCCGTGATTTCTAGAACAGAACAGGTATGATTGACCGTTCTTTTGTTGCAGTAAATTAAACGATCTTAGTTAGGAAACTTAGGATTGCTTCCTGCTCGTAGTTGTAGAGATTGGTGGATAGAGGGGGGGGTTCTATATTTGCGTGTATGTGCGTAGGTATGGATATGGACATTCATTCGACCAGAGCTCCTGAGATGTAAGTAGGCGTTGGTGGGTGTTTCTCCTCTATCCATGTCTAGGTAGGTACCTAGGTTAGGAGGTCACTTGGGGGGTTACATAGGTGATGAACCAGATAGATAGATGATTGGTACCGTTGATGTGATATGGCAAGCTAGGTTAGGTAGGTAAGTAGGTAGGTAGGGACGCAGTTGTTTATTATGTAAAGTGATGGGTCTTCTATATACTGCCTCGGTAGGTACTGCACCTTACTAAGGGTAGGCTAGGTTGCACTTCTTTTCCTAGGTACCTAACCTAGGTTAGGTAATAATAGCGTACTAGAATCCGTAGCTTTGTTGTAAGCCACGTACGTGGTAGCTCACACCGAAATACCGAACCTACTTATATACCTAAGCTTTAGTATGTACCCAACCATCCGCATCCCGATGCAAACACCGCCTTCCCGCCAACCTGCCTACCCAGATACAGAGGTCCGTCCCTATGCATCTACGGCTCAACAGGCAATCCCTCATCCTCATAAAACCCCGTCGCCCACACGACCAGCCGACCCGCCTTCCTATCATCATCCGTGAACAGGCCATTCCACTGACTCCAGACCTCCTTCAGGCTAACCTTGTGGCGGGCGCCGGGACCGGACGGATCGAAGTAGGCGCGCAGCGCGGACTCGATGCCCTCGTAGCCGACGATGAAGCGGGCCATGTCCTCGCCGGGGCCGTCGCGGGGCCACAGGGCCTGCTGCAGGAAGGCGGTCGGGTCGGCGTAGAAGCGGCGCGTCTCGTCCTGGTACGCCTGCCGCTGCGGGGAGCGGGGCGGGGTGTGGATGGGGGGCTCGCAGGTGAGGGCGCGGGCGCGCAGGGAGGGGTAGACGAGGTGGGAGCGCCAGGGGGTGGCGTGGCAGGGGGTTAGGAAGAGGGCGAAGAGTTCTTGGGAGAAGCTGTCGTCGTCGTCTGGTTCGGTTGTGGGGCGCGGGATGGCGAGATGAGTTGGGTGGGTGGTTTCAAATTCGGACCGGAGGAAGCTCATCACACTGATAGGCGCTGCGGCGTGGAAGTAGGACAGGTACCCGCCGATGATGATGTTGACGAGGAGCCCTGCTACTAGCAAGGGGACCTTCTTCCATCCTAAGGATGGCAGTGAGCAAGTAGCGGTAGCATCTGCTATTGTCGTGAAGAAAGATACGATATGCGGCGCACCTAGGATATGGAAAGCAGGTAGAAGGGGTGTGATGAAGCGGACTTCCTTGTGAGATATAAAAGACAGGGACGATATAGTTGTGAGAATAACAAATGACAGTGCCTTAAGAGCGTTGGAAGTCACCACCGGCCACTTCGAGGTCTCTGCATCCAGAGACTTATAGATGCCCTTCAATACGAACGGGGTTATCGTAGTGCATAGCAAGGGTATGCCCTGAGAGAGATAATAATGCCAGTCATTCTGTCCATAGAAAGCGGCGAGATCCTGCGCGACATTGACATGAAGGAATGTAAGTGGAGGGAATGTCCAATCTCCATAGTATAACCTGTCAGCTAACACAGACAGCCCGAGGACAAAAGACCTACGCGAATTAGCTTTACTTGCTAAGTATATTTGGCGGACGACAGTTTACTTACCCGCAAAGAAGCACCTCCCTATACACAACGAGGAGGTTCCTTCGAGTAAGGGGCGACTTTCCACCGAGGGTAGCTCTCGTAAGTACAAGAGTACCGATGGCCATCCATATCAAAATGTTAGTTGGCCGTAATAGAACCGCATATGCGGCCAGCATTAGAGACAGGCGGAGACTAGACAACTACGGCTTAGTATAGAATAAGATGTTTCCAAAAGGGCTCTAGACTTACCTATTAAGTTGACCCCACGTCTCGAATAGTGGAATTGACGAATCCTGGGATTCTTTGTTCCCGTCGTTATCCGTCCCAAGCAGCTCCCAGGGCCAGTAATAGAGAGCCATGGCTGTTAGGGTAGTCTCGAAGCAATTGGAAAAGGACCGCGTTGCAGTATACCATTGCCAAGGATTCAGCAGAGTCGCAAGAAACTACATGCGACTATGAGTAAATGTTGCACTAGAACCCTTCAGATGAGTCAAGGAAACTTACGACAGACCAGGCAGCGGCACTACTATGACCGTAGAGCCTTTCGGCAAGCCTCCATGAGTACCAATCGCTCAGGGCAGCAAAGCCAGACTGTAGAACCTTGGGTGCCGCGATGAGCCATTTGGCTTTGATCGTTGGATCCATTCCTGGGCCCCCAAAGTTCTCAACGATGTAGTATCCCAAGGCAAACACGGCAGGATGAACAGAAGAACGGATCTTATGTTGCCATTCCTTTTTTAATTAAGAATCCCTACAAATTAGCTAAGGCTTGTTAAAGGGGATGAGTTTAGAAGAGCGTACGCACCCAGGTTATCCATGCGCCGCTGTCCTCCCCGAACACCATACGCCATGCCGGCTCGAGAGCTTGGAAATATTCATCTGGCTGAAAGAAAGTACGGACACAGAGCGCGTTGATGAGACGAAATGCGAAAATGACAGCTAGCGCCTCTCGCGCTTGAGTAGAAATTAGATGGGATACATGACTCTTTGAGGGATTTGATGTAATCGAATTCGAAGTCGAAGTCGAAGTCGCACTAGACGCTTTGGCTTTTGACTTCTTCTCTGAACTCATCTTCTCATTATATATATCAATATATTTCAGGATACGTAGGCACTCATACGTTTTATGTCATCACATCGGAAGGGGGGGTATCTAGGGATTTAGTGTTTGTTTACTCAAGAGAATGAATGGTATCTTTTTAAATGAAATAAAACAACGAAGGAAATAACTATATAGCTTGGATACCAAGATAGATGAGGCTACCTGGCATTTGTTGCGATAGTATTCTTCAAGCCAAATTTGGATTTCTCGGAACTGTCCCAATCGAGGTTCGAATGGAGTGATTTGTATGTATGTATGTATGTAGGTACTGGGTAATATGTCAAAGTTGAAGTTCAAACGTTCGTTAATACCTAGTTAAGACGTTACTACCTTGCCCGCCTTACGTAAAAGTAAGTGGGCACAATTAAGCAACTGGGCAGTGGGGCCTGGGCAGCTGGCCGACCACAGCCGTACCTACCTTTGAGGCTGCCTCCATAAATCATTACGACCCGATATCAACATAACCTTATTCATATTCAATCAACTTACACCAGTTTTTATTCCGCTTAATTGAATTTAAAGATAACTCGATAGTCAGATAACCTCACATGACCTCATCATTATGTTTGCTGCCAAGCAATACCAACGTCGGATACCACCCCCACGATCATCAAATTTTCATCACTTTATTGGACAAGACGGAAAATGCAGATTTTGTGATTGGCCCGCGATTGAAGATTCATCGGCTTACCGTCACTACTCCGGGCTCGGCGAACGCACTCTGATGCAAGTCCGGTTGTATTGGGTATTACTTTGTTTTTTCTATGATTTTTTTTTATCTCTCCCTATCTCTACTTTGCTTGGTGATTACCTATATTTCCAATAATTGTTGGTTGGTTGGCTGGCTCGTTCTTTGATTCTACCACCTACATACATAACTTACCTGCTAACATAGTAACATACCTACCAGTGGCTACCACACTATGCCCATGGATACTAACTAGTAGGTGGTAGTTAATCGGACGAGCAATGAATCGTCAAGGGTAAGGCTTACAAAAACTAGTCGACAGTAAGAGCAAGAAAAAAGTCGTCCGTCTCTCTCTTAGCTTGAAAGATCAAGATAGATTCATTTTATTCTCATCTTCTCCATTCACTCTCGTACCCTCTTCCCCCTCTTGTCCCTTGTCCTTGTCCACTTCGCTTTGCTTCGGCACGGCCAGACCACCGGAGTCGCCTTCTTCACCGCATGTGACTAACTGGTGCTGAACTTCAAAAATCCCGGGCAAAACTTGTCATCATCGCCGCGTCGGTACTGGATAAACCGCTTCGACCTGCACTTAGAGGCTTAGTGGCTATCACTCAAGTCTGTTCACATTACGTACCAAAACTTCCTGACCTCAGATTCGCCCCGCCTTGTTTCTTCCATTTATCTCTACTCTCTCCTCCAATATTTTGCCCTCTTTTTCTTTTAGAGAATCTTCATTCTTCCTAACCAAATCCGCAAGAGAACATACCCATAACTTTTTTTTACGGAAATCCTATTGTAGCAATAGGCTCACTCCTTTACCTAACCTCTTAAACCATTGAACGAACACTCGCGTCGCGAATTGTTACTTCCTAGTAATCCTTTACTACCAGCCTTGTCAATCTCCTCGTAGCCATGTCTCCTCACGCAGACGGACCGACTGCCAACAACGGCAATGGCTCAACGACTGAGTCGAGATACCATTCTTCCTCGACCAAGAGCGCGATTGACGCCGAGAACAAATACGCCGCACACAACTACCACCCTCTTCCCGTTGTCTTCGCTCGCGCGCAAGGTGCCGATGTTTGGGACCCGGAAGGAAAGCACTACATCGATTTCCTCTCCGCATACAGCGCCGTCAACCAAGGCCATTGTCACCCGGAGCTCATCAAGGCTCTTACCGAACAGGCCGGAAGATTGACTTTGAGCTCTAGGGCATTTTACAATGACGTATTTCCCAAGTGGGCCGAAAAGGTGCAATCGATGTTCGGGTATGACATGGTTTTGCCCATGAACACCGGAGCTGAAGCCGTGGAGACGGCCATAAAGGTTGCGAGAAAGTGGGCGTACAAAGTCAAGGGGGTGCCCCAAGACAAGGCACTGGTATTCGGTGCCGAGGAAAACTTCCACGGCCGCACAGTAGGTTATCCCACACTTATGAGCAAAACATCTATTCTAATACGTATCACGCGCAGATGACGGCTGTGACCCTGTCCACTGACCCAGAGTCGAAAGCAAACTACGGCCCATATGTACCTAACGTTGGGGCCGTCTCCCCATCGACTGGTAAGGCAATTCGGTACAACAACGTAGCCGATCTGGAGGAAGTGCTAGAGGCTCATGGAAAGGAGACTGCTGCATTCATTGTCGAGCCAATTCAGGGAGAGGCAGGCGTAGTGGTTCCTGATTCTGATTACTTGAGCAAGGTCCAGGCGCTTTGCAAGAAGCACAATGTTCTGCTTATCTGTGATGAGATTCAAACGGGTATCGGTCGCACAGGACGGATGCTATGTTCTGAGTGGGCGGGCATCAAGCCAGACATGATTACGTTGGGCAAAGCTATCTCTGGTGGCATGTATCCCGTCAGTTGTGTCCTCGGTAGTAAAGACATCATGCTTGTTGTCGAGCCTGGAACCCACGGTTCCACGTATGGTGGAAACCCATTAGGTTGCGCTGTCTCTATTCGTGCTCTTGAGCTCATGGAGGAGGAGCAGCTTACCCAGAAAGCTGAGAAGCTGGGTAATATCTTCCGCGACGGGTTGACAGCACTTAATTCGCCTCTTATCAAGACCGTCCGCGGAAAGGGGCTACTAAATGCCGTTGTTATCGACGAATCAAAAACGAATGGCCACTCAGCTTGGGACCTATGCATTCTCCTAAAATCAAAGGGACTTTTGGTAAGACCGGCAATATTGCTTTGCTAATTTCTTTTCTTTTCCCTTTCCTTTCCTTTCCTTTTCTTTTTTAGCAACACACAGTGCATGTAGCTTACTGAGACAATTAGGCTAAACCGACACATGGAAATATCATCCGGTTCGCACCACCATTGGTCATCTCGGAGACACAGCTGCGAAAGGCAATGACCATCATTGGTGACGCACTACAGGAGCTACCAAATCTAAAGCAACATGAGAATGTCCACGTCGAACTGGAGAATTGATTTCCTCACTGTGCACACGCACACGCAATACGCAGCACGCGGTAGCAGCACACTCACAATCACACCTAACACTTATACATACATACCTACACACACACTCACATACTCCCTCCCCCCCTTATCGACACCCCGCATTTTCATTAGTTCGTAGGAAATAAAAGGGAATTGGACGAATTGGAACGGCATTGAATTTTTGATTGATTGGAATTAGACAGACAGACTTCTCCACGGCTGTTCCGTTGGCAAGGCGCACAACAGCGTCGACTAACCTAGGTCAGGTACTTTAGGTACACAAGTGGAAATAAACAAAATACCTACACAGGGAGTGGTGGCGAGAAAGAAAGAAAGAAAATGCGAGGCTACTTGACCTACCTACTGCTACCATTGATACTACTAACTACTCCTATATAGTAAACTCAACTTAGATACCTACATTTTATGTATTTCTGCAACGCTGTCACTTTTGAGCTCGTTTTGATATGTGAACGTGTAAATACCTAGTTAACCCTACATGATATCGTCTAATCATTAAACCAGGTTCGTCTCATCTTCCTGCTTGCCTGCCCTGCCTGCCTGCCTGTCAGTATGTACATGGTATGTATGTACATAGGTCATCTGAGATGCTGGGCACCTATGTATGTAACTACCTAGGTATGCTGATTGATCGGTTCCTACATACATACTTCGCTTAAAGCAAGGGGACATCAACATTTTCAATGCTACCTACCTACCTACCTATGCAGGGATTAGTTATGTACTGTAGCTAACTAACTACATACCTTTAAGTAGGTAGGTTAGGTAGGTAGAATTGGTTGACGATTAGGATATTCAAATGTTCAATGCTCATTATCAAAGGACTATCTAACTACTAGGTACCTATCTACTGTGTAGGTAGGACTTACATATATAAAGCCCCCCCAAGTTTCCAAACGGGGTAATGCGGGGGGGGGGACCCTGTATTTTTTTTTGGTGGCAATGGTGTAACCTAGTTAATGTAGTGTAGTGCCCGTGTCTGCCTAGGTGGGTAGCGAGGTGTGGAAAGGGAACGCCGTTAATGGGTAGACGTTCCTACCTAACTATGTACCTACAAGCTGATACGAAGCGAGTGAGCGGGCGGGCTGGGGAAGGTGGTTCAAACGCACGGATCCAGGGCCGTTTGGATAGTGGGTGGTGGGTGGTGGATGGATGACAAGTTTGATGGAGGTTGTTACTATGTATTATTGTACATAGTATGTAGGTATGTAGGCTCGCCAACTCACCCCTAAAAACCAAAGTCCTACCTTAGCTTAATGCAGTAGACGTGTCTCACAAATTTCATGTGGCCCGGAGACCGCAGGTTACCTAGCTTCTGTTGCTGCAGTGGTGGTAGTAGTGGTAGCAGCCTCCATGCGTCGTCGACTTCTTTTGTTCCTAACCTAGGTTACTGGGCCTTGCGTCTTATGGCTTATGGCTTATGTATGATGCTCGGCATTGAATCGACTTACTAAGAACATTGAAGCTTTTCCGACTGTTCTTAGTACAAGTACAAGTATAAGCCACTTGCTTTCCCCCAACCTCTCAAGATTTGATACATGCCTAACCCTAACCTAATCTAATACTTGGTTACAGTTAGGGATTCGTAATAAGAGGAGGTTGAACAAGAAGCCAAGGTGTTGAAATTGAATTTATGTATAAATGGATTTTAGGTATCGGGTAAGTCAGGGACAGGAACCTTAAAAAGTACCTACAATACAATATAAGCCTCAAGCTTGGAACCTACATGTAAGCGTCTCGAGGTTCGAAACTAACATAGCGAAAAGGGGTAAAGAGTGTGTGTTGGAGACAGCTGTGGAGAGACAGAAGAACCGAAAAAGGAACAAGAACAGCGCAAAAGGGAAAAAGAAAGAACCTAAAGACTTCGAAAAAGGAAGAGAAGAAGAAAAACCAAGAAAAGAAAAAAGGCTCCTTTGGTTCGGGTTTCCGGTTTGCTCTCGGATCGAGAAAGGTGCATACCGAGTCCCATGGGGGCACATATGTATGTTTCACTGTTGCCGAGTGCACAATGTGTAGCTTCGGTCTACCTAAAGCGACACAAGTGATGAACGGGCGTGCATAATGTTTACAGCTCACAGGCAAGGAGACTCCGGGGAGCGTTGGAGAATCAACCAATGAATGAATCAATCGATTAGAACTGAGAAAGGGGAATACTTATATGTAGGTTGGCTATCTCTGGCGAATCGAACACTTTGTTCATCTATGCAAGTAGATATGTAGGTATGTAGGTGTATACGAGGGAACGACTTGTCATGACCCTAGGCGTCAGCAGCTAGACACAGGAGAGAGGTACTATGCAATGCGATCGCCGATAAGAAGCAGGAGACAAAAGGATATGGATATGGATATGTATGTGTATGTGGTATGTATGTGGTAGGATTCGTGAAGTTTGGTTTGGATCTGAGAGGTGAGCTAAAAGACCCGGTTACGGAGTCAATGATAAGAAGATAGGGAGATAGGGAGATAGGAAGATAGGAACAAGACGAATCAATTGAATGAGCCGCTGGTTTTCAGGGTCCAGTGATAAATGGCTGCTTTGTCCCACCGATATAAGCGCCAACCTTGTAGGTCCTCTCTTACCTCTTACTTAAGTTACTTTTCTTACCATTGTACTACTACAAGTACAGCACTTGACAGCACTTGAGTCTTGAGGTCCTACAAGAGAAATCGGCCATCGATTTGGGAAAACCTTGTGATCAATGAATCCATGCTACCTCCCCTGATAGGCATTGGCGTATAAATACATTCGGACTAGACCAGTCAGATCAATCAATGACCATCACTTCATAATTCGTAAATATGTACAAGCACTATTTTATTTTAGGGTGAGCCTCAATAAACTAGTAGCTGCAAGAAAGCGGCAGACAAAACAAGTCCATTGTACTAGTACCTGGTCATTACCTGGTCATTGCCTGGTCATACAAACCACATGCAGGCCATGGACCGTACAAAGAAGGCAACGTGGAATAGGCGGTCGACAATGATGCAATGCGAATAGTTGCTTGCGACTTGGTTGAGGTATATCCCAAGTATAACGAACGCATGGCGCATGAACAAAGACATCCATTCAACCTGCCTGACCTGCCTGGGGCAATAAGAAGGAAGCAAAAAGGGCCCAGTAAAAGCCAGCAAAGGAAGGACCCTCGACCCTGACTTAAGAAAGCACAACAATTCCCCCTTTTCTTACGTCCTTCTTTATTACATGGACTGCATTAGGAGATGCAAACAATCAAGAGCCAGAGCCAGAGCCAGAGCCAAAGCCAGAGCCAGAGAGAGAGAGAGGCAGAGTCAGAGACAGACCGCCTTCCCCAGATGGCCCAGGTAGTTCAGATGGGGGCCAGTCGAAGGAATCAAAGAACAGGACTGATTGGGTTCGAAAAGACGATCAATTGGGATGGATCAATGGCCGATGATGGAACCAATCGGGACTTGAAGAAGAAGCATGGATATATGTAACATGGTGCTACTAGGTATGTAGGCAGGAATACATGGATAGTTCAAGTTGTGCATCATATATGTGCACTTGGGTTAGTAGACAAGAAAGAAACATGAGAAGAAACATGAGAAACAACTTGAACAATGTTGAGCTCGAATTTATTAAGAAACTACTCTGTACTATGTATGTAGGTACAAACAATACCTAATTTGTAGTAGCAACCTTGAACATCGAACATCGAAAATCGAAAATGGGGGAGGCTTGTGGCTTCATCTGTCCCCTTAGTTATATAACTAGTGCTGTACCACATAAGGTAAGCACCTAGGTTAGGTTACTAGGTACTAGGTAGCCAGTGTCTAGCGCCTTGGAACAATTGTAGCACACAACTTGAAGGAACATTGAACATCAAATTGATTGAAGCCCTGGAACATTAAAGTTAGTGCACTATATGTATGTACTATTAGAGGGAAACAAATCATTCAAGGTTGATGGATGGAATCAATGGATGAGAATTGCGGTACGTAACATCCATTTAGCACCGGGCACCCTAGCTAAGGTTGAAAGCCCCAGCAGGGACTACCTAGGTTAGTGCCTAGTACCTACCTAGTATGCAGTATGTAGTAGCAAAGCAGCTGCTAGGAAGGGGGATTTATTACATCTGATTTGCGCAAATGATGAAAATAAAGTGGATTCGGACCTAGCGGAATCGGCTTTCTAGATTAGCGTTGCGTGTCAGTGCTTCGATTGCCTTATCAACGTTATCATGCGCTGAACAGTCACGAGTGACGAGTCTGATCTTCATTGTTCACCATCTTCCAAGCTTGTTACGAGTCTTTCGTCTCTCCTCTGCCCTCTGCCCTCTGCCCCCTCCAGCCCTCTACCCTCTACCTGGATTTACTAAACATGGTACCTTTCCTGCCTTCTCGTCCCGTGGACAAATCTGATCGCCTCACCTCAACGACTTCTGTTGCCATCCATTGATCTCTCCTTCTTTCCTTACCCCGGATTATTCTGGTCTTCCTTCTATTCTTCTTCTTCTTCTTCTTCTTTACTCATAATTACCTATTATTACTACACTCCTCCCTTTAAGGCGGCCTTCTCTTGTATCCATCCATCCTTGTGATTATCCTTCCTCGTAATTCGACTTACACTATTTTTATCTTATGCTTTTTTTATCGCCATCGATATACTTAATCCCATCTTTAAGCTTCTCAACCTGACCCGGTCTAGATTAAGACTTTCTGTACACAAACCTGTACCATTGAATAGCAACATACCTGCCTGTTTTTAACCCCTGTCAATAGAGGCAAGAGTCATAAGAGTCATAAGAGCTATCTTAAGAACATTGAACGAAAAACAAACTGGAGGTGAGAAGCTCGAGCTTGCTTGCCTGTCTTGCCTGCCTGTCTGCCTGCCTACATGCTTCAAGTTGCTTAAAGAAAGAAAGATACATACATACATACATACATACATACCTACTACTCACTTACCAACGTTTGGTATCCCAGACCGAGTCATTTACTTGATTATC